TCCAAGACTTTTTAAACGAATATATTGCGCATGAAATTTTTTGGTCCTTCACTGCAGTTGACTACTACTTTAGGTAAGCTGAAAGTACTCGTGTGCTTATATAATTTATTTTCGGGCCGTGTTGATGTTATGTCCCTGGGACTCAACATTGTCTTTTTTCCCCCCTTGCATAAATGCACCCTTTACTTGAGAAGGAGCAAAAAGCGCAAAAAAACAACCAAGTGAGCATTTGTAAGATCTTACTTTACCTTTTTATTTTCATGGATATTTACTAAAATCCGGTTAGGCCATCGAATTCAACGGTTAGCAACAGCTGACCCCGTTTTACCAAAAAATGGGGAAGGCATACAGGTTGGGATAGCTGATTGCAGTAATTGTTGATAGCGAATTGTAATAGTTTATTTGATTCCTTTTGCCAAAAAAGGGGAAGTTCTATTGATTGTAATTAGTGCTATTAAATTAAACGAGCCTGGCTGGGCTCGGCTCGAGCGTGGCTCGTTAAGGCTCGAGTTCGAGGCCTTAACGAGCCGAGCTCGAGCTCATTTAAAGCTCGTTTGGCTAACGAGCCGAGTTCGGCTCGTTAAGGCTCGAAAATTGAATTTTTATATACTTTTTTATAGTTTGGCTCGTTAAAGCTCGAGATTGGCTCGTTAAGGCTCGAGCTCGTTTACCGCCCTAATTGTAATAGATATTTTGACTCGTTTTGCTGAAAATGGAAAGTCCAATCATGCGGGTTGTTTGGTGCTGATAGGGGATTATAATAGCTTATTATTGGAGGTTTGTGTTAGTGGGTTGTAAATTAGTGTTTGATGATAAATAGCAATAACCGTTGCATGTCTATGGCTGTGGAACTGTGGTTTACCAAAACATAAGCAGAGGAAGAGAGAGAATGCAGGATCATTATCCTTCTCTCTTCTTTTCTTCCATATTTTCACTGAAAAAAAAAACAAAAAATAGTCAGAGAAATTATTACCAAATCTCAGAGAATTTAAGGTAAAAAGAAAAACAGAAGAAAAAATGGCTGTTGATGGTAAAGAAGGCGATGCCGAAGAGACTCAGCCTCAGGCTAACGACCAATCGGCGACTGCAGCCAACGAAGAAACCAAGAAACTAAACGTGGATGAAACAAAAACTACCGAAGAAAACAAAGATGAAAACGAATGCAAGAACCAAACTTCCAACAAAAATGACGAGACGAACGAAAAGCCTCACGTGAAGGAAATCATCGAGACGTACGAGACACTTTCCTCACCTATCGCGTCGAAAAACGAGCGCTCGAGCGACGAAGAAGAGATTACTCCTCCGATCCCCAACCTAACTGATCCCGAGAAGAAAGCATTAATCGACCTCCGCTCGAAAATCGAGCATGACATCCTCTTCAACTCCACATCATCCGAAAATGACGAAAACGCCCCTGAGTCGGGCCCCAACGTCTCCTCACTTTGGGGCGTTCCCCTACTTCCGAGCGCGAAAGACGAGCGAACAAATACCCTACTCCTCAAGTTCCTCCGAGCCCAAGAGTTCAAGCCCGACGAGGCCCTCGAGATGCTGAAAAAAGCGCTTGCTTGGCGAAAGGCGAATAAAATGGACTCGATTATGGACGAGGATTTGTTGGTCGACGAGCATTTCGGCTCGGTTGCATTCGTGAAGGGGAAGGATCGGGAGAGCCACCCGATATGCTACAATGTGTACGGAATTTTCGCGGACGAGAAAATTTACGAGAAAACGTTTGGAGACGAGTGTTGTCGGGAGAAGTTTCTGAGGTGGAGGATGCAGCTATTGGAGAAGGAAGTCTCCAGGCTCGATTTTGGTCCGGGAGGGATTTCGACCGTGTTGCAGGTCAACGACCTGAAGAACGCGCCGTGGCCATCAAGGAAAGATCTCAGGCACGCGACAAAACGGGCTCTAGGGATTTTTCAGGATAATTACCCAGAGTTCGTGGCAAAAAACGTGAGTTTTTTACTTTTTTTTTTTTTGGTGATGCTAGCTCTTGTTTACCTTTTTCTTATGTTGATTGTTGAATTTATTTGTGCTCATTTTTTCTTTGTTCGAAAACAAAAACTGTAGATTTTCATCAACGTTCCGTTTTGGTATTACGCTTTCAATGCGCTCTTGTCGCCTTTTTTGATGCAAAGAACCAAGAGCAAGTTCGTTTTCAGCCGCCCGTCGAGGGTTACCGACACACTTCTCAAGTAAGCAGAATTTTGTGTTTGTAGTTTCTTGTTAAGCTAGCTTATAGCTTTTTTAGTGAATATCGAATTTATAGCTAACAACAGTTGAAAAGTTAGCTAATATGATAAAAGTGTTGTAAAATTAGTTGATAAGCTAGCTAGATGAAATAAAAATTTCAATGAACTTTTATTTGAAATGCTACACAAGGAAACTTATGAGATAAACTCGAGCTTTTTAGAATAACTTGTCATACCAAGCCAAACTTATTTGAATACAGAAAACTTATAAGCTAATCAAATAAGCTATAAGCTAAGTTATATGCTTACCAAACACAACCTACCTATAATATATGCCATTGAAACTTGCATAAAATTGTACAAACTGTAGGTACATTGCTGCAGAGGAAATACCTATCTCGTACGGAGGGCTAAGAATGGAAAACGACCCTGATTTTTCGACTCAAGATTCTGCTCACGAGGTCGTTATCAAAGCCGGTGCAACTGGAACTGTTGAAATCCCGGCACCCGAGGTAAAACAAAATAAAAATAAAATTCTAATCAGTCCCCATAAGGCCATAACTTGGTGTTTGATCACATTTTCTCTTGTTCATCCGTGCGTTTTTTTAATATAAAAGGCGTTTCTAACTAATTTTTCATTTGCTAGCGTAATCTACCGTGAAGTGCCGTACATTGGAAATAGATTACTCATGAACCTCCGTAAACTAGTCGAATTTAGCACTTTATTTTCGACATTTTGGCAACAGGTTGGAAATACTTTGATATGGGACCTGACGATAACCGGGTGGGATGTACATTATAAGGAGGAATTTGTGCCGACTGATGAAAGCTCGTATACTGTGATCGTGAAGAAGGGCCGAAAAATAAGCTGGCAAGACGAACCTATTCGCAACACGTTCAAGAACAAAGAGCCCGGAAAAATCGTGATCACGATTGAGAACGGCATTTTCAAGAAGAAGCGTGTTTTGTACAGGTATAAAGCCAATAAGAATGAAGAGTTAGT